TCGTTACGCAGAAAACCCGGTGTCGATGATGGCGTCGACTTTAGTGTTGAGCAGCGTTGGCCGTGAGCGAAAAATTGAGGTATAGATGCAAAAAAAAAAAAAAGAGCAGAGCCGCGGGTCGATTGCAGTTTGGTTTTGTGGCACAGCAAGTTTCCACCAAGAAGCGAGGGCAGGTTAGTGATTAAGGATTAAGATGTGTGGCGCGTGCGAGCTTTTGTGCCTGTTTGTTTGTGCGCGTGTAGATATCACATAAGGGGGTCCCTTTATTATTATTTTTTACAGGAGGCGAAAATGCTGGAGGCTCATTTCCTTCGATTCAGGTGCACGTTAAAAAATCCTCAGGTGTTAGAACATTCCGAAGCCCTCCACAGCGGAGTGTCTCATGATCATAATGAAGTTTTGGTGCATACAACCACAACAATTAATTAATCAAGCTTTCCTTGTCTATTCAGTGGCACTGCCGCTGATTCACACGGCTGTGTACATGGACGTTGCACTTCTACTGCGTTGTTTGCGTTACTGCAGCAAGAAGTTAGCCATAGCATTGTTGCCGCCTTAATAGTCACGTGGTAAGTCGTTAGGTTAGAGCGAATTAGAATGGACAGGCTGCAGCAAGGACGTTGCGAAACGTGCATAGCTAGTACTCAAGCGATAGAATACCGCATATCCAGGAGACGTTTATAATATGCGTTGCATGGGACCACGCGTGGCCCACTTTGGGTGGTTTCACCCATGAAAAGGTTTCGATACTCTACAGGCTTGGCAATGCGCGCAACAATGAGTCAACAACGACTACGCAACGATGAGTCAACATTTTTTTTGTCAAATACTTTTTCGTAGATAAAGTCAACAAAAGAACCCATGAATATATCTTGAGCAACGTCAAAATATCTTGCCATGCCGTTGAAAATTGGTTGGTTTGTTGAATAGTCAACCGAACGTCAACAACAACTCAAAAGTAATTTTCATAAGGGATGCCGGTACGCACTGTTTGTGATTTTTCGTGATTCTGTTTTTCTCTCGTGTTTTCTTTATTCTTGCGTGTTTCTTGAATATTACTGTCATGTTTATGGCACGCTTCCTTCTCTTGTTTTTAATAAGTAAAAAAAAGAAATACAATGAAATAAGAAATAACTTTGGAGGAAAAGAGATGCTTGAAGAAATGAGAAATCGTGGAGCAGGTAATGTTGATGTAACCACGTTGGCTACTGAAACATTCCGTGTTGAGCGATTCGCCATGTTTTCTTGAAGTGTGACACACACACACACACACACACACACACACACAGATATATATATATATATATATATATATATATATATATATATATATATATATATATATATATATATATATATATATATATATATATATATATATATATATATATATATATATATATATATATATATATATATATATATATATATATATATATATATATATATGTATATATATATATATATATATATATATAAATATATATTTCAATTTCCATATATTATTATTTCCATATATTATACTATTAAGATGAGAGCGTACTTGTTTTAAGAAAATTATACGACGCAAAACACCAGGAAAGAGAAGGCGAAGGGAAAGAGCCCCAACTTCTAAACTCGGCAAATCCTGTTTGCGTGTCTGACCGACGATTTAACACATCCGCACAAAGCCCACACTTTAATCGGGACCAATCCGTTCTTGATGAGGTACGCCACATATTTTGCGCTGCAAGTATAGCCTACTTGTTTGAATTAAAATTTCGAAAGAGGCGTCTAAGTGCTAGCTTTTAGTTATAAGTTGTATTGCTTGCGTTTAAGAGAGCTATATCTATTCAATCTTTGGCAAGATCAGATGTGGTCACTATGACACGACAAAATACTTGATCATAAAGAAAAAACATTCAGCAGATCTCACATACCTGGGAATTGACGTTATGCGAAGCATGCGGAGGGAAGGTGACCGTGTTGCAATTTTTTTTTAATGAGCGACAGGTCGTGAAATGACGCTAAATCATATGTACAAACGTTGCCCGCACAGACATAACTTGAAGAGTTGCAGATGTTTATATAACCAGTTGTTTGCGCTTGCGCAATGATGCCAACTGGAACATGCGTATTAGCAACACCAGAGGCTGATATGAAGCGCTGATGCTCGCCAGGATGCTGGCCCTGAACACTGCTACATAAATGAACTTCAGCGCATGGCAACTAACCACAATTGGCATTAACCCGACGTGACAGCTGTATCAAAGGAGTACACACGTAATGTTTATAAAATTGTGTAGGCAGCGCTGCAACCACTATTTACGTTTCACAAAGATTAGCGTCGATTTAGAAATAGCTCCGAGAAGTGGCGTAGCTGTGTGGTAGAATGCTTCATTGCCACTCCGGACGCTTGGGTTCCATTCCAGCTGGGACCGTGACAATAGAGAGTTTTAGTACTGCGGAATGGTGCTACGTACGCATCACGCAAGCGCCTTGCGTTACGTGGCGTCGTTTGGCACTAATCGGCTTTTAGTACGCCATAGTACCCGCGTACGTAACGAGCATGAAGCGTGTTGCGTCATCTGGTAGATCAAAATAGAAGCACGTGTTGTTGACAGCCAATGTGAGCCAATCCAAGTGTTATAGCCAGATTATGGCCATATTTTAAGCCACAGAGCCGGTCGGTGCTTGCCTTGGATGCCGCCATTTTGCTAAACGAAGTCTCGCACTGTCGCGAACTTGTTCGAGAGCGGCGCGATCACCTCATACGTATGCACGCACGCATCTCATGCGTGCGTACGTAGCGGCTGCGTACGTAATGCGATACGCGCACGTTGCGGTCTGCGCATGCGCACTACGCAGAACGTGGCGTCCTTACGTACGCAACGACGCCACGTACGCAGCGTACGCAGTACTAAAACTCTCTATTCTTTGCATTCGTCGGGTCGACGCTACCGATGTCGGGTATTTCTTAACACTCGTGCGCTGAAATTGCCCATGTACGTTCTCGTCGTTACTGGGTAGATACTAAGTGTTAATCACCTGTGGAACATGCCCGCATACCAGCGGCACATACCCACCCGTGGGTATGTGCCACTGTCTGGCGGGAAGTGTTTGATGACGTACGCGACGAGGTTGTTATATTATTCATTTCTTGACCAGCGCGTCATACTATTCGTCAAACCGTCTTGCCCTGCCATTCTAATTTTGGTTCACGCCATGTTAAGGGGGGGGGGGCACGAGAGCACCCAAACGTAAGCGGCTAGATAGATAGATAGATAGATAGATAGATAGATAGATAGATAGATAGATAGATAGATAGATAGATAGATACGCTCAAGTCCACTAAAGTTCGCTAAGAAATGCCTCGCATTAGAAAATAATTTTGGCCTTTCCATCCACTCAGAAATCTCACTTAGCCAACAGCGGAATGTGTGTACAACTGAGTGTTTCACTCGACGTTTGGCAGTGTCATGTTACGACTTGCGAAAGCTCGTTCAACCTTAGCCAGGGATGATGATGATGATGAGGGCGATATGTGGTACATTGAATCTCCAGGGCCAATGATGACCAAATAGCGCCAGTAAATGGTAACAATGTGTAGCTTATGGTGCGGTAAACAAATAATGCATCTTTGTAATGTGAGTGTATGAAGGCTTGAGAGTAAATATTCGTCTAAAGAGGAGTATCGACACGCCTGTCTGTGAGAGGACGTTGTTGTTGCTTAGGTTAGATTGCTTAGGCTAGAGGGAGATAGGTTAGATTTTAGATTCAGTAAGAAAAAATTAGCAGTCATGATTTTTAATGATAACGAAGGTAGTGACCCTAGAATACAGCAGGTCACGCTAGAGATAACAGATAAATACAAATATCTGGGTGTATGGATAAGCAATGGGACCAAGTACCTAAGGGAACACGAAATATACGTGACGACTAAAGGTAACAGGAGTGCAGCTGTGATGAAAAATAGGGCACTGTGGAATTACAATAGGTATGATGTTGTGAGAGGAATATGGAAAGGGGTCATGGTTCCTGGGCTGACGTTCAGCAATGCGGTCTTGTGCATGAGATCAGAAGTTCAAGCAAGATTAGAAATTAAGCAACGTGGAATAGGTAGGCTTGCTTTAGGAGCTCACGGGAATACACCAAATCAGGTAGTACAAGGTGATATGGGATGGACATCTTTTGAGGGCAGGGAAGCTAGCAGCAAGATAAGATTTGAGAAGCAATTGAGAGAAATGGGGGAGGAGCGGTGGGCTAGGAAGGTTTTCAGCTACTTGTACATGAATAATGTCGATACAAAATGGAGGAAGCGAACCAAGAAATTGACTGGTAAGTACTTAGAAAACAGCAAGTGGCCAAACCAAAAAGAACTATCGGTTATGAAGAAAGTGAAGGAAACGAAAACTGACATGTGGAAAACTGGCATGATTAAGAAGTCCGCACAAGAGATCTATCGAACTTTTAAGCAGGAAATTGCCAAGAAAAGGATCTATGACAATACTCGGGTAGTTCTTTACTGTTTGAGGCCCGGACGGGAGTATTGCGAACCAAGACATATCGGGCCAAATACGAAGGGGTAGACACATTATGCAGTGCGTGCGGAGAGGAAGAAGAAACTGCCGAACACTTGATAATGTTCTGTAAAGGGCTTCACCCTATAGTTCAGGATAATGGCGCATAGTTTTTCAGAGCTCTGGGGTTTAGGGACAGGGAGGGCAAAATAGACTTTAAGCGGGTAGACATAACTAGAAGGAGGTTATCTGATTGGTGGCTAAAGTCAAGCCACGAGTGAAAATTAAACCCTTCACTGCAAAGTACGAATCCTCAACCTCACTATTTAAAGGAAAAAAAAAAGATAAATCTAATGGTTAGTTCACTAAGCATTACGGCTAGGTGGCGTTAGCCGCCACCCGATCTAAAGGTTACAGTCACATTCATCCATCCATCCATCCATGCAGTATACATCTTGGAGCCATTATTGTCCGCAAGAGGTATTAAGTAGTAGACACAGCTAACGCCAAAATAAATTTCTCTTTATTGTTAACAACAGCCTAACTATAAGAATCCAGTGCAGTACAACCAGATGGTCATGTGCAGTTTGGGTGTGGGATCATTCGGGCGTGACATGCGTTTAGAAGACGTAGGTCTTGGTGCGCTCGGAAACGTATCCAGGGCGGCTGTGGTGAACGTAGGTGCGGGATCCAGTCACCACAGGGGCGTGATGATAGTCGGTCTGCTTGTAGGGAATACTGCACGGAAAGAACAACAAATGAAAGATGGTCACATTGCTCAGTGTAAAACATTGGCCTGGCCAGAACGAAAGTTCTGTCACAGTTACTACGCTTATTCGACCGATGTTGGGTGTCTGAATAAAAAAAGGGAATTCGATCAAGGGCTGTGTTCTTTGTTACACAACCTAATTAAAGCAACAGGCCAGTGAAACCAATGAACGTATAGGGAACACTGTTAATAGCCTTGAATTACGGTGTAGTAGCTATAGTCTAGTGCAGCACTTTCATTCCAATTGAATCGTCGTTGTTATAATTTTATGGTATTCTAGCTATTGCGTTTCTCGTACATATAATTACGAAAACGTATTTGAATGTCGGAAATTGAAAGCGATAGGGTTATGTGCAACTATCTCAGCATCCAACAACCCCACATGAGCACATAACACTTAGCAGTTCGCATAAAATATTGTGATTGATTTATAAAGGTATTACGATGATTCCGCGTGTGTTTAAGTGGTATTGAGAGACCATTTTACGGGTGGATTTCAGTGCCACCATATGCGGCAGTTAACCAGTATGTTTTGAATCCTTAACGAGTAACTGGTCAGTGTTACGGTAGACGCGTACTCATGAAAACAGTTAGGTTGGTGCATGTGGCGTTTCATGACAATATTAATTCACATCGCGATGTTAAAAAGCAAGAACATATCGGCTTAAAAGCCCAAGATGGCAGTGCCCATATCCTTCACGGAAAATATTCTATACACAAGCCAGATTACTTCGAACGACAACTAAACGGCGTCAGACTGACAGTACGCGCGGTGCTATCGTTATTTCATTCTATTTAAATAGTGATTAACTGACTGACTGATATGTGGGGTTTAACGTCCCAAAACCACCATATGATTATGAGAGACGCCGTAGTGGAGGGCTCCGCAAATTTCGACCACCTGGTGTTCCTTAACGTGCACCCAAATCTGAGCACACGGCCCTACAACATTTCCGCCTCCATCGGTAAAGCAGCCGCCGCAGCCCGGATTTGATCCCGTGACCTGCGGGTCATCAGCCGTGTACCTTAGCCACTAGACCACCGCGGCGGGCTGTGAAAGATCTGCTAGAAGTAGCGACTTTTTTTCTTCAAAGAATGATTGCTATATTGTACGTTTCTTCACGAATTAACCATGGAAACTAAATAAGGAACGTCTGATCACCCGGTGAGTGGATCGTGGTGGACGACGGTGGACTTTGGCTGGACAACCTTGCTCTGCTCGACGGCGTAGCCGTACTCGTGGTGGGGCACGTGCACCAGCTCCTTGTGGTGCGCCACCGCGGGGGTCCTGACAGCGGTCTGGTACACCACTGGCTGGTGAACCACTGACTGGTGAACCACGGGCTGGTGCACCACCGAATAGGCGGCTGGAACGCCGTAGGTGAGCAGGGCGCTGCAGTGGGCTCCGGCCACCAGGAGGCAAACGACGACCAAGGTCTGTGGAGGGACAGTAAGTTGCTTAGAGATGCCTAATTTATCAGAATAAAGCAATAACGTTACAAAGGAAGCAGGAACAATGAAATGCTCATGAACTGGCGATTCATCTATGAAGAATATTGTGGAAGAACGAAAGCTTTAGCTGTTGTCGGGTACAGGTTATGAAGGCATGATATTACGTAACAAAAGCGTGGTAGCTGCTTTAAAAATATATAGTCACGCAGATGTTCTCTACCACGGAATATACTTCGATGGTTGAATCGTAAGCGGTCGTATGCGACTAATGACGTCAGCTTAAAATGCGCACGGATTGATACAGACTAGCGAGCATCCTCCTATCAAATGGAAATGACGCATGCCTTCTATAGAGACACTTGCTTCGACATTGCTGAAAGGCAGATTCAAAGTCACATTCGTAAGGCCATCACGGAAGAACATGACTAACGAACTTAATAGCGATTAATGGCTTGTAGGTGAATGCTGTCAAGTCATGCTTGGAGGTCTGCCACGCGAGTTAATACCGCTTGAATGCAAATACTCTGTACCATTTTGTATTTATCACGGTTGGACTGTTTGATAGGTGTTCTGTATGTGCTTAGATTTGGAGCTCAATCCATTCTTTCATTACTGTTCAGGTTACGACAGTATGATTGATGCTTGCCAAGAATGTTAGTATTTGTACGCGGTTGGTTTAGTCGGTGAGTTCGTAGAGGCGGTACAGTTGCGAGCTGCATTGTCATCAATGCAATATTTATTACAATACGAAAGTTGAAACTCTAGGACATTGTCAACGAGATGTCATGCTGTGCGACACGAGCAACGCCGGCGTTCATCTTCTAAGCACGTTTTCAATGATCTTTGGAACACGAGGCGCTCTAGCTTACGTTAAGTTATTCAAGGTCAGGTTGAAGAAGCTCCTGAAAGTGGTGTGTACTCACGAATGTTTTCATGATGCTTGCTTTGAGAAGTAAGGCGAAGGTTGGTGCTTTGACTGCCGCTGGTTTTCTGCGAAGACGACTGCGTATTCTGCGACGGGACGGTGTGCTTTTATACCCCATCGAATCGTGTGTTTTTTGTACAGATGATCAATTTTTGAGCATAAGCAAATGAAGTGCCAGTCGGAGGGCAAGGCACCCGTTCCGCCAAGAACACAACATTCCAACTCCCCTTTTTTTTTCGTTTACGTACGCCCGATGGCTCACGTACGCTTTGCCACTGATGCTTTGTTTTGATTTCAGATTAGCCGCGAATTCTTTCTTCTATTTTTTCTTCAGCTTTCAAAAGTATCGTCGCCTTGCCATTGCTCCTACGCCCCCCCCCCCCCCCTTTTTTTTTCTCATTCCGTTTGTTGTTGAGGGCGTGACATGTAGCGTATATTCGAGACACAGATTGCGTAGGTCGAAGGGAATGCGACAAAAACACGTTTAACGACGTAGGCGGTGCCAGTGCAAGCCAGCCACGGGGTCTGGCGTCTCGGGGTATTAATCATTTTAGGGGGCAACAAAGAGATCGGTAGCCGACGAACGCATGGAGCCCGTATCTGTCGGCCCATCTTTCACCACGCTTCGCCTTGTATATCGGAACCGTCGCTGACAGAGTGTATGCGGCCGTGCTTCTCTTGTTCGCGGAGAATAGTCATCGACCTATACACGGATGCATCTCCCTGAGTTGTACGTTGGAGCTTACGTTAAAATGCGCCTGCCTTTTGCGATCATCCTGTGACTGCGAAACGACCAGGATGCGAAGAGGCCATTAGTTTTTTGTAATCGGAGCTTGTTGGTGCAAGATATTGTGACGGCTCTCCAAGAACCTGCTCGATCCGTGGCTCAGTTGTTGACGTACAAGCGGAATATTTATATACTTTGGTACCTGACGTCATCGCAATCAGCCGTACTCGTGCATGACGTCACCGCAAGTGTTACTGAAGCTTGAAGTCGCACTAGTGTCGGTGTCATATAGGTGCGCCATGCAAAAACTTTGCTTTAGTACCGAAACCTAAATATCGGCATACACTGATGTTCTCAGTGGCTCAAATCAGTCTCTGTATTCAAGAGACTTTTATTGCGGAGTAAACTCGTTTTCGAACACTGGTGTCGGTACCCCGTTAAGTACCCGAAGGCAAATGAATATCACATTGCGTACTTGGTGTGCGCTAAAACATTCTTTCATGCCGCTTAAAACGTGTTGTATGTTTAAGTAAGCTGATGTAAATGTGTGGCTATTTGGGTTGGTTGGTTCATATTGCCTTGGGGAAACAGCGCGCAAAACAGTGCACGAGAAGAAGCCGAGAAATCTATGCATTTGATAACAAGTAAGTGTTTTATTTTCTTTCAGAGGCGAAACTTTGAGAGGGAGGGACGGGTTACAAGCTCGATAAATGCATTAGTGTATTAAAATAAAAACGATATCTAGTTCTGAGGTGGTGACACAGATGGCTCACTCACATACGCAGAACCAAATTCGTGGATGATAAAGGCCCATCGAAAACCAAACGAGAGGCTTCATCAGAGAATTTCAATACAGTGCAGTACTTTGATTGAACAGTGGGTTCTAGCCACCATATGGAAAGCCGAACATTTTCCTATAGCTTCAAAACGCCGTGTTCACATAGCCAGGTCATGTTTGCCACAATTCATACAACCAATAAAACTACGAAATATCTTGAGTTTGTCCACTACTCTGGTATTACTATCACTGCTTGACATGTTCGGCCAAACTCGGACACTCCTTTTTGTTGACAAACGTAGCAAGCAACAGTTGCAAGTGTGTTGAATGATACGCCCCATCCCCGCCGCGGTGGGTATAGTAGCTAAGGTACGTGGCTGCTGACCCGCAGGTCGCAGGATCGAGCCCCGGATGCGACGGCTGCATTTTGAATGGAGGTGAGAATGCTGTAGGCTCTGTGCTCAGATTTGGGTGCACGTTAAAGAACCCCAAGTGGTCGAAATTTCCGGCGTCCTTCACTACGGCGTTGCAACGTTAAACCCCACATATCAATCATCGAATGGTAGGCCCGATAAAAATCAGCAACCTTGATATGAAAAGTCAACAGAAACAAGAAAAGGCAGAAGACCGATTCATTTCTGCAATCTTGATCCATAAAAAAAAATGCGCAGACCACGGCATAATAAAGATAGTTTACGTCGACACCTCGCCAGTCTGCGACCTTGGTGGATTTGCCGCGATAAGCGGTGCTACGGAACGATTCCGGCGGGGATGTTCGAAATGGGCAGTTCGCGGCGCTGGTCGTGACATTTACGACTCCTCAAATGTCACGACTTTGCAGCGCGAAGCTAATTAATGGACGCGACGCGCATCGTTCGTCTCATCTGGTGACAGCGCGGTATCTCGGCAGCGTGGCCACTGCGAGAAGCCAATATTTACTGCTTAGATCACGTACTTCGGGCACAGCAGCACACCTCAGGTTTGGGCTCCTTATCTGATTTTATCAACGCCGCTCTAGACACTGCCGCTTTGAAGGTCAATTTTCTGGAGCGTAACAGAGCCACATAGCCATGCGGTCGTCTGGAGAGGCGAGCTGCTCTCTCGTTTAGAAAAGAAAATACCGTTAGACTGAAGATTCAAATGAGCTGATCGAGACGAATATGAAGAGAGTTATATGGCCATTCAGAAGATGGTGTTTTTTCGTCCTTTGGAAGGAATGACCGCTACGTTGAACTTCAAAAGTTCTATGCTCAAGAGAGGTGAGCGGGTCGATGCCTTGACGAACGACATCTTTGAGGTGCTCGAGATATGATATGAACTTGGTACATGATGTCCTTGAAAGTTGGCGGTTTGTTTTGACTGGGTAGGATCCATGGTCTAAAAATTACAATTTAGCGTCTGCTGGGGAACTAAAAATAGTACAAAAATGCCAGTACACCAGTACACCATGCGTCTGCATTCACGCATGATGTATATACAGGATGATTCACGAAATTGTCCAACAGCAGAATCGTTCCTAAGAAATTTCAGCTATATACGCGGCTCTAGACGTAGCATTAAGAAAGCCGTCGGGCAAATGGCGAAGGTAACTTAGTCTCTGCGAATATAGCCTACGTAGATTCAAAACTTCCAATTACAAGTGCAGTTCAGTTGTGGTTGGGCTGCATATAGTTTGTCATATTGTCACGTGCTTGCTCAAGAAAGACGATGGCAGTTGTGCATGTGCCACGAAGGACTACGAAATGGAGGAAAAATAAGAACTCGCTTGCGCGTTCTAATTAAAAAGATCGACCTGCTTCTGGTGTCTCGATCTCTGTGGCAAGACCTCTGTTTTGACGTCGTGACAATATAACAAAGTTCGATATCACGACCAAGCTGTGTTGCAACGGTGTCGGCGATCTATTGAGAAAACTATGGTAGCAATGCATATGCAAGCTCACCATTGACAGTGTAGCACAATCGCTTATCACCTCACCGATGATGCCGCCAAATGTCCAGACTGTGGAGCACTGGCAGTTCTTGAAGGCTATTCAGGACTGAACCGTGCTGGCGAGAGTCACCAAGTATTTCGTAATACTTCGCGGAGTCTTCAAAATGTTCAGCACAACTTTGTCGGTTGCTTGTATAGACTCTCACCGCGACTACAATGACAGCCTTTTCTATATCTCCAGGAACGCATGGTGCGACATTCACGCATGTGCAGTATGTAGGTATGTAGGTGCCCCGCCACGGTGGTCTAGTGGTTAAGGTACTCGGCTGCTGACCCGCAGGTCGTGGGATCAAATCCCGGCTGTGGTGGCTGCATTTCCGAAGGAGGCAGAAATGTTGTAGGCCCGTGTACTCAGATTTGAGTGCACGTTAAAGAACTCCAGGTGGTCAAAATTTCCGGAGCCCTCCACTACGGCGTCTCTTATAATCATATGGTGGTTTTGGAACGTTAAAACCCCACAAATCAATCAATCAGTATGTAGGAGTACACTTAACAAAATTGTGTGGGTTATACAGTTCTGTAAAGCGCATCAGCGACAGATACAGCTGCCCAAATTGTGCAGCTTTTCTCTGGTCGATCGAGGGTGATTCTTGCGTTCCTCTGGTCGTTTCAGGGCAAAACGTCTCGCCCTGGATCACCGGTGTGCTTGTTACTGTCGAGTCATAAATATGAGTGGAAACAGAAGGAGCATCGCACGTCACTTGCATCGTTGTGCGTGGAACATTTCTTGTCCCATTTCGCAGTGGTTACCAGAATTGCTACAGAAACATACAGAGCGGAAGCAGCGGCCTTCTACCGTACCACGAGATACTATCCAAAAAAGCGTTCGTAGAGTGGTTTTCATTGGTCATTCCTGAATACGCCATGGCGCTTGCATGTGTGGTGCGAAGCATCATGACACGGAGCCAAGGAAATAGCATTCCGTGTTACAGTATATAGGCCACTTGGTTCGGCTTGGCTCATTCGGAGCGACCGTGGAGCACGATTTTGACGGCTGCTCTGGATCTCCCTGTCAAATCGCCTTTGCCGACTCGCGCTTTTCTCCACCACTCATATGTGTGGACGCGCTAACAACAGGTCATATAGGTGCCGTGGCTCCCATTTACACTTACTGCACTGTGAAGACAGCCTCGGTAGAGTACACTATTGCCGTGAAAAAGAAACCAACTCATAAAAACACTTTTAAGAATAAATGCGCAGAACGCAGATCTCTCTTGCAACGAACACACGGAACGTCAATATATGTAGCAACTTTCGTGAGTTGTGTCTTTGGGACGTTCTTTTGCATCATAGACACATAGACACATACGTACACGCGCTAACCATCATAGACACATACGTACACACGCGCTAACAAACTTGTTTTACCTTTTCACTCACCTTTACAGCAGACTGGCTCACATCAGAGAAGATTAGATTCGCTATTACAGAATCGATGAACGCATTTATTGCATAAAAATGTGGTGACGATCAAGCGTGGAGGAGTAGCACCACGTCGATGAAGGTTAATCAAATTTTTAGCAGTGCTAAACAGAAACAGCGAGACTGAGCGAGGAGCCCCGCCACGGTGGTCTAG